CATGCAGAATACAATAACAAAGCATACCCATGAGCAGGATGAGGGCACACTGCTGCTGCTGCTGTTGCTGTTGCTGTTGCTGCAGCTGCTGTTGCTGTTGCTACTGCTGTTACCATTCCTGCTGCTGTCGCTGCTGCTGCTGCTGCTGTTACTGCTGCAGCAGCTGCTGCTAGCTGCTATGTGTGGCCAGGGGGTGCAGCTGATCTAACCTTGCGGACGTTTGTAGCTGTGCTGTCGCCCTGTTTCCATGGGGTCTTCTATGGCGACACCAAAGGAGACACTTCGTTGCGCCCTGCAGGCTGAGAGAGAACGCAGAGTAAAAGAAGATTTCTGAAACTGTCTCCTCCAAAGCAAACGCATGCAACGCGTTCTAATCAGTGCAGCAACAGCAGCAGCAGCAGCACCGGCTGCTGCTGCTGCTGCTGCGGCTGCTTGCTACTACTCGCATACACGCAACGCAGATGCCTGTATGACTGTACGCTGCGTGCAAACAGAGGCTCACAAGCTCGCTGCTCCTCCAGGGATCTCAGCACTGTCTCTGCTGTTACAGCATCTGCTGTTGCCCCTGTCGCTTCGGTTGCTGCTGCTGCTGCATCTTTCGCTGCTGCTGCTGTCCGCCCTACAGCCCTTATCTGTCTCGCGTCTTGGGGTGGGGGCCCCTTGGGCCCTATAGGGGGTCGTTGTCCCGTNCTACAGCCCTTATCTGTCTCGCGTCTTGGGGTGGGGGCCCCTTGGGCCCTATAGGGGGTCGTTGTCCCGTGCCTCCGCTGCGAGGAGACAGGTGGGGGCCCCCTGTCCCCTCGGAGACAGGAAGTGTCTCCTTCTCAAGTGTCTCCTTTGCTGGCGAGTCGGTTGTCTTTGGCCTGCATCTGCTAAGGGACAGCTTAGGTATCGGAGACGGGGCTTGTAGAGACACCAGGAGGGCGAAGGAGTTAAAATAATAACCAAAAAACACAAAAAAAGAATAAAATAAAGACGCCAGTGTCCCCCACTCATCATCACCTAGAGGAGACTCAATGCAAGCTTTGCTCCGGCAGAAGCGGGAACGATCCCCCGATGCCCTGGGTGTTCGATCCCTCGATCCCGTGTGGGATCGATTCCCGGATGTTGTGGGGTTTCGAATATCTTCAGGAGACAGTGGCCTGACCAGTGGTCTGTTGTGGGATTTCTGGGGCAGCAAGAGACCGTTCCTGCATCTGTCTGTGTCTGGCAGGTGATGAGGATTGTCTGTGGGGTTTTCAGGTGTCCCCTCAGGGAGCAGAAGGAGACACCCCGGAAGATACCGCTGCATCCACTGCAGCAGCTGGGCCTCCCGAGCTCCCCTCAATGCAGGCTGCAACAAACCCAAGGCGCGGGGGCCCCACGGGTGCGTGGGGGCCCCCGGCCTAAGAAACCAGACGTTGTGGCGTCCCCCCACGATCTCTACTGGCGCTGAGTGGAGAGGGAGGCCTCGGAGACAGTCCCCGTTTAAGTGTCTCCTCTCGTACACGGGGGAGACCTTGAAGGAGGCCTGCAGCGGCGCGGCAGCGGAAGGCAGTTGCTGCAGCTGAGGCAGCAGAGGTGTGCAAACAGACTGCAAGAAGAATACCACCAACAGCGACCACGCGTAGCTGGAGAGACAGCCGTCACGGGAACCTGCAGCAGAGCAGGAGAGAGGAGACAGAGTGCAGACAGGAGATAAGAGAGAGAATACATGAGGAAGGATACATTTCCTCCGTGGGTAGCTATCTAGCTAGCCANGACAGGAGATAAGAGAGAGAATACATGAGGAAGGATACATTTCCTCCGTGGGTAGCTATCTAGCTAGCCAAAAACGTAACTACGTAACCACCTAGGCAGCTAGCCAGCCATCTATTTAGCCAGCCACCTAGCTAGCCAGCAACCCAGTTAGGCATCCAGATAGCTTTCCAGCTGGCTAGCTACCCCGTCAGCTAGCTAGCTAGCTAGTCTAGCTTCAGATTCAATGCAGCAGTTATCTTGTGAGGCCCACCTAGGAGACCCCTGCACTCTGCCCAGTGCCGAAGCACTCTAACCAGAGGTGGGAGAAGGAGACAGCAGCGAGAGTACGTCTCCAACAGTTGAGAGTTCAGAGGGCCCAGGGGACACCCAACAGTAATCTCAAACTTCACGCCGGTGTACGGCCCCCAGACAGGCTCAGCGTCAAATCCTAGCTTGGGGGCCTTCACAGGGTATCTCTGCTGCTCTCGTGGATCTGATGAGGGGGGCCCGGGGGGCCCCGCCGGGGGCCCCGGTGGAGATACCCCCAAGGCTGTTCTGCTGTTCCCTCCCTGTGCAGGCCCTGCAGCAGTGAGGACTTTGGTTTGTTTGGTTTCTCCCGTCTCCTTAGAGACCTCTTTTGGGCTTGACTCTGCCCCTGCGCTGTCTCTGCCAGTCTCCTTTCTGTCCCCTTTTCTCCCCAGGACTGAAGGGACGTGAGAAGGGTTCTGGGCCCTTGGAGACTCTTCGTTAGGAGACACATCTCTGCTGGCTGAGGAACAGCACGAGGCCGCTTTGCTTGGCCGTCTTTGGGGGCCTCTCGGGTGTCTGTACACCCCACGCAGCACCGGTGGAGCTCGCTGGGGCACCACAACATCCAGGCAGGTGAAGAGGCCCTCCAGCTGCACCTCGCTGCGGAGGAGACCCTCAAGTCTTGTTAGGACTGCAGCGGCGTCTGCCTTTGATAGAAAGTCGTGGGGACAGTCCCTTTCCTGGCCACAAAGGAGACAGCAGGGAGAAGAAGGAGACAATCGAGAGCAGCAAGACGAGTGTTGTAGCGTCTCCTTTGATGCTCTGGTGCTGCAGCGGGACGGCAGCAGTAGCGCGAGGTCAAGATCTGAGGCCCAGTCACCAAAGCGTGTAACAGAGGAGCCATAGGGCAATAGAAGGGGAGGGAGTGGGGTGCCTCCCTTTTCGTTGTTTGCTGTGCTGCTGTCTCCTGAGTCGTTGTCTCCTCCTCTCAGTCTCTGTCTCCACGCCGGCGTCCTCAGCCACTTCGCGAGGAGACGAAGGAGACTCCACTTTTGTCTGTCTCCTTTCCTTGAGGGCCTCAGCTCTTCATCAAGGGCCTTCAACTCTTGGGGGATGCTGCAGCTGCAGGATACACCCAAAGGAGTCTCCACAGCAGGAGACAGTGTCGCCTTTCTGCAACAGTAAACATCGCCGCATAAAGGGGAGACTGCTCGCTGCTGCGGCTCCCAGTGTGGGGCAGCAGGCACTGAGCTGGGCCACGATGAGTCTCCGCTGTCTCCCGCAGCTCTGGTGTCTCCTGCTGCTCTGCTGTTCCCTGCTATACTGCTGTCTCCTGCTGCTCTGCTGTATCCTCCATTTTGCTGCTGTGACACTAGCCACGGAGAGTATGGCCTGAGAGAAGGATTTAAAAAGCAGCAGAAGGCCCTAGCAGACGCATCGCAGCTTTTGGGGGGGAGGAGCAAGTGTTTTTTCACTGTCTCCTTTTGGGTTTTGGGAGTTGCCCTCTCCTTTGTCTTGGAGCTGCTGCTTACAAACTCGAGGAGACAGAGCGATTGGAGGCCTGCCTGTTGCAGCATCTCCCTGCATACGGTGGCTAGCTGGAGGCGGAGACAGTCGAAGAGAGTTGCTGGGGAAGGGGCGGTGAAGACAGCGAAGCAGCGGAGGAGACAGTGATAGAAGAGCTCGCGATAGGCCGTCTCCTCGGGAGCCTTCAGGGCCTCCAGGTGATGGAGGGAGGGGCTAGCTAGTAGCTGCTCTAAGGAGAACAGAGTTGTAGCAGGCGAAACAGCAGCAGCAGCAGCAGCAGCAGCGAACGCTGCAACAAACACAACAAAACGGAGATACTGCACCGTAACGAACCAAAAGCCAAATTGTAAGAATTAAACAAAGACAACGCAACACAACTTGTCTTTATTCTATCCCTATTAGGTCGAGATAATATAATGTAATATAGTGTAATAGAATAGAAAAAGAATGTAATATAACATAATATAATGTAATAGAATATAATGTAATATAATGTAATATAATGTAGTGTAATATAGTATAATCTAATCTAATATAATCTAGTGTAGTGTACATATATAGAATAATCTAACCTTATATAATCTAATGTAGTGTTATATGATATAACGCAATATAATGTAGTGTAATATGAAACAATATAGGACCATATAATATAATATAATACTGTAATATATAATAATAACACAAATAAATAAACAACGCCACAGACACTCTGAAAATATTATTCCTCCCAACGGTGTTGTATCGCTGGGGTGTAGGTACACTGCAAGGTCTCTAGGGCCTCTCTCTCGGCTCGCAGCCGCAGTAGATATTCTGTTAGGTTTCCTTCGCTTGCGTCCGTATTGGGCTCTTTGGCGTTGTTTTGTGTTAGAGTATCAATGGAGGTGTCTCTTTGCGTGTCTCCTGGTGTACCCTGGAGGCTGCTGTCTCCCTCTTGCTGCTGCTGTCTCCTTGCTGCAACAGCAGCGGCAGTAGCAGCAGCAGCATCAGCGTGCTGCTGGAGACAGAGACGCATTGCCTCGAGTAGAAACTCCCCCGCTGGCGCCAGCTGTATCTCCGCCTCCTCCCTCTGCAGGGGACAGGAGACAGGTGTCTCCTGAACGAGTTGCTGCTGCAGCGAGTGGGGGTTCATGAGGCGCAGCAGCTGCTGCAGCACGTACAGGAGACGCTGTGAAGGAGACATGAGGAGACAGCTGGGTGGTGGCGACGCACGAGCAATTCGCGCAACTGTCTCCAGGGCGTCGAGGGTCCCTGCGTCTGCTGTCTCCTGAGGATCCGCAGAGTCCCCTTGTTCTCTGTCTCCTTTTACAAGCGACACCACAAGGGACGCTTCAGCCTGCAGCAACTGTAGCCGAGGCAGCAACTCCTTAAGAGGAGGGGAGACAGTTGCAACGTCAGAGAAGGAGACAGCAGGTACATCGGGTAACCCCACACTCATACGAATAGCCCATAGGCAGCAGTCGGTCTCCCACGGAGGTGTCTCCTCTTCTCTTGCTGAGGTGTCTCCTTCCCTCTCAGGACTAGATCGAGAGAATAAACGGAGGAGACACTCCCGCTGCAGCAACGCAGCACTCAGCAGCAGCAGCTCTGAGGTAGCAGACGGCTGTGCATGCAGAAAAGCCCCATCATCTGAGGCACCCCAGAGGGGACTCCTCATTATACGTGCCTCCTATGGGCGTCTCCTACGATGAATGATAGATTGGATGGCTGCATCGCTTGCTGCTACTGTCTCCTTCTGTATCCTTGAGCCTCCTTCTGTCCCTTTCCACTCCGCATTGTCTCCTCCTTCTGCCNGTCTCCTGTCTTCTTTTGCATCCTTATTCTTTCCCGTGCGGCCTTCCTGTGCGTTTCCCCCTCCTTCTGTAGCGTGGTGTCTCCCTCTGTCTCTTTCTGCCTCCCCCTTTGTCTTTCTGTCTCGTGTTCTCTCCTTCTACCTCCTCCTGTCTCCTTCTGTCTCCTATCTCATCCTGTCTTCGCAGCAGCTGTGCCCTCGCTCTGTCACCTCGAGGATAACCCTTAAGCCCCAAAATGTGGTGATTCTTCCTTGTTTATGTTTACAAAAAATTTAGTTAAACAACTGAAAGACAACGCACGGCATGAACCCGCTCTTGCGGGGTGTTGGAATCGCCTTCAAGAGACAACCCCACCGCTCCCGCTCGCGTGGGGTCACTACCCTGCAACAGAGGAGACACCTGCTGTAGCCATCTCTTCTCATCAAATCAGAAAGGAGACAAACATACATCTCATATTTCAATAGAAGGTAAAGCTTTAAAGGCCTGAAAGGCAAAGAGAACGGGGGGCCCCAGGAAGGCAGGCAAACCGCCAGGGGGCCTTCACCTCCCGTCAGCTGCAGCAGAAGCAGCAGCAACGGAGACCCACAACCGCCTTAAATATTTTTGTCTTCGGGGCTTCAGCAATAAATGGATAATGCATGCAACGGGAGTGAAAGCCATGATGCGGGAGCCCGGACTCTGAAACCCTAAACCCTAAACCCTAGATCCTAAACCGTAAGACATCGTCGAGGAGACAAAAGCAGTAGAACGCCCTAGGAGACTCCTGATGTATAAATTTGGTATTAAAAGGGAAAAGGAGACACCTTCGTGTTGTCTCAGGCAGCAGCAGTTGCTGCTAAGACATATATAACCTACTAATGTGATATAGATTCGACACCGTCCGCGTAAAAAACAAACCCAAAACACTGAAACCTACACGGCACCTAACAGAAGGCAATGCCTCGCCTTATACACTCTACGTGTTGCTAAGAAAGGACATTATGTTGTCTCGTTTATATAAAATTCAATAGTACTAATTGATTAATTAATTAGTTACTAATTAATATTAATTATTTCTATATCAACGAGACGACATGTGTAGAAAAAAAAAGCGGGAAAGGGAAGCACAGTGAAAGGAGAAGTATACACATGCATACATATATATTGTATGGGCTCATATATAGTACTATGTATTCAATGTATTTACACAGCATGCGTACATTTTACCTGCATCCGGTTATACAGATATA